GCTTGAAGATGTCTGGACTTCAGCTCCCAGAATTCCCCAGCCTGGGAGCTGAAGTCCAGACATCTTCAAGCGGCCCAGGTTGAGAAACACTGCTTTAGAGTAGGTGTCTGGGCCAGGTATGATTATTGCACTGTGAATCCCTTGCCTACAAATTTGGGCCAGCCTGTGTCCTCATCCCATCCCACCAGCTAGCAACCCGAGCAGCCTCGCGCGGTGAAGGGGACGGGGTGTGCACACGTGCATCTTTCACACCCCATCAGAAAGGCGCAGCTCTCGTGTTCCAGTGGAAGCAAGGGCCGGAGCATCATTCGCATGAGCTGGAAGAAGCGTCCCGAACCTGGGTTTGCCTGGAAAGCACAAGGGCCAGTTGAAGCATAGCTTCTCAACAAATGGCTGGGGTGGGGGAACCCTGCTTCCTCTCCTCTCTTGTGTTCCTCCAATTTGCAGAGTGGATGCCAACTCTGGGTAAATCAGGTCAGCTCCTGTCTTGTTATGAGGCAGGAAATGGTTTAAAAAGTAGAGCTGGAGGTTAATTCTGAGATCTCCAGCTCGAATGTCCTTCTCTCTTTGCAATTTCAGAAACCTCTACCTATCAAAGCCCTTCTCTTGGACTCACTCCTTGAATTCCAGATTTCTTTGACGAACCAAAGCTGCTATCGCGATTGTTACCCTTATGAGAGCCAGTTTGGTCTAGCAGTGAAGGCCCCGGGCTCGAAAGCGGGAGACGGCGAGTTCCAGCCCCGCCTTAGGCCTGAAAGCCAGGTGGGGGACTTGGGGCCAGCCCCTCTCTCAGCCCAACCCACCTCGCAGGGTGGTGGTTGTGGGGAAAACAGGAGGAGGCAGGGGGACGAGGCATGTCCGCCGCCTTGAGTTATTTATAAAAATCATAAAGGCAGGATAAAAAAAAAAATCTAATCTAGCTCTATTATTGTTTCCTAGCAGCCTTGGGGCTCGTTTCTCGCCTCGCCGCTGATAGGCGAAATGTACATTCCGTGCAATTATGCTTAGACGCACGCCTCCGCCCCGGGTCCTTGAGAGCCGCCCCGTGGGGTGGCCTGGGCGTGTGGGGTGGGCTTTTGAGCCAGAGGGCTCCAGCAGGCGGGACAGCTTTGCCCTCGTCCACCCAGAACCTGGACGTGGTGATGGATAAATGGGAGAAGCGACAAAGCACCCCCTTGCCCCTTAAAAGAAAGGAAGGCAGGAAGAAACTTTTGCTCCGGAGGTCGTGCTTTGTCTTTGTCTCCTTCCAGCTGATGCTCTCGCTTCTCGCCCTTCTCCTCCTCTGTTTTATCTGCCGTTTCCCTTTTTGCACGCTGCAAAGTGTTATCTCTGCAGATTCCCAACATACCGTGGGCTGAGTGCGTAGTCCTTCTTGGAAGGCATGCGGCTCGGGCGAACGTGTGATGGGGCTGAAGGCTGGGGCTTTGTTTCCTTTCTCTGGCTTCTCCCCCGCACTTTCAGACTTCATTGTTGCAAGGAGGTGTTTTCTCCCCACGTGCGTGCGGGGGACTCAGCGAAGAGATTCATTCGAGAGTCCTGGAATTCAGTTTCAGATGTGTGGGATGGGGGATGAATCGGGGGCCTAAACGTTCCCACGGAACCGTATTTGGAGGTGGCGAGATTCAGGAAGAGAAGCAGGAATTGAAAGCAGCAGACCGCTTGCAGCTGGTAAGATCAGATTCTGGCAGGGGTGCCTCCCCTATGAAAGACGTGGGAAGCGTCCTTTCTTTTAGGTTTGCTAAGTGCTGATTTCACCATACCCGGAAAAGTAGTCCATCAGATGGACGCATTCCTCATTTTAGTCTGAAGGAAAGGGCTGATCTGGACTGGATCAAGCATCTTCATTTTGCGTGTGGATAGTCAGAAGACTGGCCCATCAGGGCCAAGTTTGGAGTCCCATTGCCCAGATTCAGCAGTTGCTTTCTCCAAAGGCTTCAGCTAAAGCAGGGTTCTTCAAACGTGGCGACTTGAAGATGAGCGGACCTCAACTCCCAGAATTCCCCAGCCAGCAAGGCTGGCTGGGGAATTCTGGAAGTTGAAGTCCGCCCATCTTCAAGTCGCCACGTTTGAAGAACACAGAGTTAAATGAGGTTGCCCTGTTTTTAGAGAAACTGTCCCACCCCCCAAAAGTCCCTAATGAACGGGACCTCGGTTTTTATATATGAAAGGAAGTGATTTTTCATCCAAATGGCAGCACCCTTCCATGCCAGGAGAAAGAAGAGTCTTTTCTCACAGGTCTGAGCCCAAAGCAAACTTCTGGTTTCAGAAATAGTGGGGGCGGAAGGCTTGCCCACCACCACCCCTCCCCTTGGACTTCCAGCCACCAACTCAATGGTCGCCTTCTGAACATGACACCGTTTCAGAAATTCAGTTCAGGGCTTGGTAAAGGTCTGAAGCTGTTCCAGCAACTTAACTCACGGCTCAGAAAAGGAGATTTGACAGGGGAGAAAAGACCAGTCATTGCTTATTAATCCATTCAGTTAATTGTTGAATTCAAGCCGGACTCCCGTATCGAGGTGTCGCATTCCCAGGGAACCCATCAGCTGTTGCTGACCTGTGTTTCTACCTGGGGCACGTCTGCTTGGCCACTGGTAGTTGGATGTGGCTAATCAGTGGCGGTTAAGGGTCCCATTGCGGGAAACCTTGAATGCATTCCGAAGGTCAAATGCAATTATTGTACCATCCGAGCTATTTTCATGTTCCACCAAACTCCCTGCAGAAGTGGGTAGGTGGGTATATTTAATAATGCAACCAGTTTGAACTCCTCAGATTCAATGGGAATTCTGACACAATCTGATTTGTTTGTTCCTGTCTGGGTAAGGTATGTGAACCTGGCTATTGTGGTTTATGAATCACAGTTTATGGCATAGCGTGACGTGTAGAGCCTGCTGATTGTGGCTTATCCAATGAATGGTGGTGAAGCAACCTGATTTTGTGCAGTATGTGAATCGTAAGCCGTTATCGGTTGGTTTGGTTTACCTCTGAGTCTACCAATGGGCTGTACCATAATGGAAACAAACTATGGTTTAGCATATTGGATAAAGCCAGCCATTCTTTTCTCTCAAGCTTCTGATCTGTGACTGAATGTCAGCCTTAATTCAGCCCTGAGAACCCTTTTCATTATGTTTCATTATCTCTGCTCTCATTCTCTCTGAATTGCTTTTAAGCATCTGCATAATAGCTTTGGGGACATTTCAGAGCTCTAAGGAGAATAGAGAGAATTATAACAGGGAGTTTTAAGCTCATCCCAACTGGTAAAACTGGCAGTCCAAGGCTACTGGCTCATAGCAAAAGGGTGTTTTGTTAAAGGGTGCTTCTGATGAACCCAGAATGGAAATCTTAAGACAGGGGCCAGTGAGAGGAATGGGTCTGTGGCAGACCTATTCCTAAGAAAATATTAGGGTTAATTTACTGCTTATGGGACAGGCCTGTGGGCTGCTGCAACGTGGCTTATGTTTTAATTTCACATCATTCCCCCACAAGCATTTTTTTCTCTTCTGAACAGATTGCTGTTATCTAAATAATTCCCAAGCCTTCTCTCTGAATAGAGCAGAGGGGAAAAGCTTCTTTTGGATCTATCCCCAAGTCTAAAATCCTTGGGAACCCCAGTCTGCTTCTGCCCAAAACTCACCCTCCCTCTGGGTTTCGATGGCACCCCCTTAAGCCTGATGTTGCCCTTGTTGTCTGCCTGAAAAGTGAGGCCCTAAAATGCAGCTATATGTTTCTATGCAAAACTGAGGGGTTTCTCTCTTTTTTAACGTTGAATTTGAAATTGCCTTTTTGTTTTAAATAGGGGAGGTGGCTGGTGAATCTGTCAGTCACCTGTTTTGAGTTGAGGAAAAGGGGGTGTATTTAATGCACATTATTTAGAAAGAAAAAAGCACAATTATCAAAGAGTTATCGGCACTTGCCATTCACCTGCCCGCGCTGCTTGAATTACATTTTATGAATTAACCTAATGGGTATTTCTCATACCGAGATTCAGAATTGCTTGGCCCGAGGGTGAAGCTTGAACAAGCATTTTAATGGTAGATGAGTCGGTTCTAATTTTGATGAGTCTTTCCCCCCCCCAAAGTGTTAAGATAAGAGGGAAAATGATTCCTGCAGTTGTATTTATAATGCATGCTTATGGTTTCTTGCAACTTAGAAAGAAACAAAAAATGAATTAGTTTTATTTAACTTTTAAAATATGCATGAATAAAAACCTGAAAGCTATGCTGGCTGTAGCATCTAAGAATTTCAATTCTCGAAATATATGAAGGCCCATTGCTGATTTGTAGTTTTTCTGGTTCTTCCTGAGGTTCAGCTCCCAGATCGCGGGTTCTTGTTCTAACCCCAGGAGCTCAACATATTGGCTGGATTTATTCATTGCACTAAGCCATGATACAGTTGGATTTGTCTTGGCATCTTATGTGAACATTGTGGTTTGTCAATAATAGATATGGGCTCTGCCTGTTGTCCATCTCAGGTTCAGTTTCTCGGTCTTGTTTCTCCTTTGTCTTGATTCAACTTCCAGGAGAACAACCGCCACAGCATGGGATTTAAGCTGGTCAGCACATAATGCTCAAATGCGCCTCCAACAGGCCTGTCCCCGTGAAGCTCCTTCTCTGCAATGAACACTTTGGCAAAGTGCAACAGAAGCCTTCCTGCTTGACGGATCTAAATGTGACCCCTTTGAGCACCATGGAGTCCTTCGCGGTGGTAGCGGAGTACGACTCTACTTCCAGTACCACGCCAGGCCGGCCGGAGGGGCTGGTGGATGAGGAACCGATGGAGCCGTGTGAGGAGCAGACCCTTGCTCCAGATCCTGGAGGTCTTGAAGAACCAAGCTTGTCCAACTCTTCGAGGACTTCCTCCAGAGAGACAAGGGAACCTTGGGTCAAAGTGAACCTTTCAAGTCGCAAGCTCTCTCTCCAAGAGAGGTCTCCGTCTGCCCAGTCCCCCGGCGGGAGCATGGGGGTTAATGGGCGCTACATTTATCCTTCCCTTCCTTACTCCCCTGTTACTTCGCCGCATTCTTCACCCCGTCTGCCCCGGAGGCCGACCATAGAGTCCCACAGAGTTTCTATCACGGGACTGCAGGTAAGAGAAGCAACGCCATGACGCTGTTTAGACCAGCTTTTGTTTGTTTTTTGGTTTGCGTGTCACTTTTAAAAGAAGAAAGAAAAAGGAAAACAAACAAGGGAAAGTTGAAAAGGAAAAAGGGAAAAAATGGATGCAGGAATCTAATATCAAGAAGTGGACGAAGGAATGACTGAGATTGTACAGTTATTGCTCATTATAGTGATGAGAAATTAACCATAAAAAACAAAGTACGTTGAATTATGTCAGCGATGTAAGGAAGGATTGGAATCTCTGAGCTCAGTGCCAAAATCTCCACTACTTGTTATTCAAAAATATGAGAGAGAGAAAAGAAGAAGAAAAACTACTATAAACCCAGCATGCTGGCTGGGGAATTCTGGGAGCTGAAGTCCACACATCTCAAAGTTGTTGAGGGTGAAAAACACTGATTTAGAGAACTTGCAAGCAACTCACCTACTGCAGCTAATGCTCGTGGTAATGGTGAGTTGAGCCGTACCTTTGATCGTTGGGAGAATAAGTGCCTGATGCTTTCTAAGGCACTTATCTTCCAATTAGTTCCGGTGCACTTTGAGCAAAGAAAGAATGATGGAACGGCGCATTAGCTGTTCTGCCTCAAACAGGAGAGTTGTGTCAAATGTGTTTCTGGACTTGGTCTGGTTTTTTTCCCAGGGTCCCAAGAACTGCGGTGTAGTTCTGAAAGGCTGGAGCCGGGGCGGGGGGGTG